GGCCTTGGTTTAAAAAGATCAGATTTTTTTATGAGTCTAATACCTTCTGTTGAAGCTCAAGTTCAAGTGGATTTTATGTGCTCATCAGAAGTTTTGCACAAGCTTGTGAAGTCCAACTCAAGCGCATGCTGTCATTAAGGCAAAAAAGGGGATTAAGAAATCCTGACATTTCTTTTCACTCAAATTGTTATGTTGATGCTACAATTTGTAATGAAAAAATGTATATTAATTAGAAAAGAATGCTGAATATAAGCATTTTCACTATTGGTCTCAGACATCTGTTTATGCAAATTGGCAAGGACTTTTGTTTACTATGGCTCCTTAAAACAGAATTGAGCTGATGTGCACAATGACTTCTAACGTGGTTTTAAAATTGTATATATTTCATAAATATATACAGTGATATGCAAAAAATCTGAATGGCACCAGACAAACTGCATACTTTCTTGATTTTGTAAGTGAAAATAAGTTCAATATAAATAGGACATTTGTTTGCAGATTGTTCAATTTCTATATATTTAATGAGTTTAACATAAAACATAACATATAAAATGTGGTATAATGTTTGCTTAGGCCACATTTCATTGTTTTGTTTAATGTATTTATTTTTTTAATTTGTTCAAATTAGCAAATAAGTAATTTAGCATGTGCAAAGGTGTGTCCTCTGCAGATGATATGTACTTATGTTCACTTAGAAAATCATTTGAAAACATCATTTGACCAGGAGTGCCAAAACTTTATGCAAAAACTTAGTACTAAAAAAGTTCATGTTTTCATTCATGTTATTCATGTTTAGTTGTGTCCAAATGTATTATAAGCAACATTCAGTAAAGCGTGGCAGAAAGAGGTGAGTAAAAGGGTCATAGTCAGACATAAAGCTGTCATGAGTTTGGTCAACTGTGGTCAAATGTGTCGACCTCATTCCTCATTAGGCCTTGAGTAATAATGTACACAACAAATTTCTGCTTCACAACTGCTATTAAAAGTTCATAAAGCTGAGTATGAATGAAGGCCTTGTTGAGTTCATGTTAGGTGTGTGTCATTAAGTGAGAGGCAGTGAAGGAGAGCTATGGGAGTGTTACCTTAAGCCACGATCAGCCGTCACAGTTTATCATCTCACTCCAGCGCACTCAAACCACTTTAAAGGCAGCTGTCAAATTATTCACTGCAACATAATAAGGTCATCCTAGAATGTTTGTTAAAGACAACTAATCAAAGCGTTTTGAAGCATACTTTGGAAAAAGGTGGAATAATGGTGCCTCCACAGAACCAGCGTGATTAATCATGGAGGAATGGATTGTGTGCGCATGTGTTGGGAGAGGTTGGGGGGCGGAGAAAGGACAAAAACAAGAGCTGTTCTGTTTTTTGCTGGATTGTCATCTGTGGGTTAACAGCTAGTTATGATGTCCAGGCCGGTCTGAGCCAAAGCTGATTACTTATCTGACCTGCAGTTAAACGATGAGAGCATTTTTGTTACGTTTCCAGGATGGAAAATGAGAGCCTGCACTCCATATAAATTGAAAAGCACTTTAGCCACATGACCAGTCTACCTCATCAGTAATGGAGCGGAATGACAATGCAGGTCATGCAATGGAGAGGGCAGCCCCACAATTCTCATTAAACACGCACCTACTCGAAGACAAACAAGCACAATAACACACTTTTTTCCCTTTTTTTAAACTGCAAATTCTGCTTTCCTGAATTGCTGGGGAAAAGTTGTGGGCTGTGTAAAGTGGAAAATGGATGCAGGGTGAGAGATGACTGCACTGAAGGCTTTACTCATGAGAATAAATTACGAAATGAAACAAATTGAGTTGGTCTTTTCAGTTACAAGGGGGTGCCATCCTTAACCTTAATATTTTTGTTTTTTTATTTTGGATGGTTTGTCCTTCAGTTTGTTTCAGGCTAATGTAGTTTACAACAACAAAGTAATATAAGCTCATATTTTGCACATTAGCATTGTGTGAACTGCACACCTAAATCAGTACCCACTTCCATCAGAACACAGCTAGTTGTTAAGTGGTCTGTAATAGACTCACTGAATCTGACACTGTGATCTATAGAAGTGTATGCAGGCTTTATGATGGCCGCTACTGCTTTTAGCTATGTGACCGTGAAAAAGTATGTGCCCCCTTGCTGATTTGCTCTGTATATTGGTCACCGTGGATGCTTTCATATGTTTTGTATGCTCAAATATGTTTTAACATTACTATTTCATTTATTAAGGGAGCAAAGGTATCCAGCATGACAAGCAATCATGCAAAAAAGTACTGCCTCCTTAAACTGAATAACTTGTCTCATGAGCTTTAGCAACCAACATTTCCTTTAATTTAACATCAGCCTTTTTCATTCTTGTGGAGGCAGATGTAAAGGAGCCTGTGTTGGCCAAGAAGCTGCACTTTGGACTGATCTGTTCATAGAACTATTTTATTTAATATCCAAATGACCTGTAAATCTACTGAGATTTTATATGTAGTGCTGATAGTAAAATTGTAAATAAGTCTTCTTTGGGGATATTTTGTTTTACAACACGCTGCATAAACCTCTCCACCATGAATGTATTTAAAATTGATGCTTTTATCTCAAAACTGTTGTAAAACAATGTCTCAGGCATCGAACAACCAATATGTGTCTATTTAATGTAATAAGTTTGTGTGAGGGAGCATTAAGAGGCATTAAATCATTCAGACGTCTGGTTCCTATCACCATGTCTGTGGACAATTCTGACTCAGTTCCTCTAGAACAGAGCATTTCACACCAAACCACTCTGAATGACTTTGATTACATCTTAAACATTTAATTATGCAGAAATATTGAAAAATAGGTGGAATCGATATTAATAAAATAATAATAATAATAATATAATAATAATAATAATAATAATAATAATAATAATAATAGTAAAATTTGTTATGTACTTAAAAAAGTTCTCTTGTCTCTATATTCCATTTTGTTCAAAGATCTAAAAAAAAAAAAATAGGGACAAACAGATGCAAATACTTTTTCACAGCATGGCAGATAACAGCATGTCATTCAGTGTAAACACTTCTTAAGCAAATTCACGTCTTGCCTGATTACTTACATTTGAGATAAGAGAGAAGAGCATGTACATTAGATTTTTCACCAAACTATGACTTTAAATTTTGTCTTGCAACTGTTTTTGCATGATCATAAATTGTGAGAAACAAGAAAAGCATGACATATCAAAAGGAATTTGCAGTGTTGCAGCATGGATTAAATGCTCCAAATGACCTATGGAAACAGTGTTAACTTTACAGAAAGAAACAAAACTTAAATATTCTGTTATATTCTGTAGTATTCTGAGTCTTTATGGATCATTTTACTGAATTAGTTCAAACTGCAGCCCCACAGTAAAAAAAAACAAAAACAAAACAAAAACAAACAATGAAGTACCTTAGATATTCACAGGGATTGTGTTATTACGTATTATCTATTTAACTCAAGACATTAATTAAGATAGTAATACGCTAAATATATATATATAAAAAAAATCATTTATAGGGTACTTTCTATTGGGAGGTGGCTGCCCCAAACACTAACCCCCAAATTTCAATGTATAAAATTATTCTGATTAGTCTGATTTTTCAATTAAAATAATTTCAAAAAATGCTGCCCCATGTTTTCATGTCACTACCGAAACACAAAGAGTTTTTGTCCATAGGCGGAGACATATTTTAGCCCCTGCATTTTACAGCAAGAAGTGAGACTGCATCCCTGTCCCTCATGCCACATGAACAGCAGTTAGATCACACTTTTTGATATAAATGTGTCCCAAATTCTGAAAATCAGTATGTAAACATTAAGAATTTTCAGTGCCAAAACACATATTTTTGGCTGTCAAGTACAGCTGTTCAATGCTGTGTTTGCCAGTCATGAACTGGCTAGCGTTTTTGAGTCGTGCTCAAATTGAGCTAAAATTGTCACTACCACAACAATCACTACTGAAACATTTGGTAAAGTTTCGGAGACAAAATGGAATGCAATCATTAGTTTTAATAAAATAAAGATAATTAAGGTATTGCGTCATTCAAATCAAAAGGATTTTGAGCAAGTTCGGTAGAGTGATCCCTATAGGGCTCATGGCAATCACCTCATAGCATCCAACTCTTTCTCCGTGGCTGCAGTTGGGGCATGTGACCTTTTCAGATGGCGTTAGTGCCAGCATCGAACGCGGACGTCAGCGGGACGGCCTGGCAGAGGGGGCGAGGGGCCACTCCTGCTGCAGTCTGCTGTGCCATGTGGAGGCCCAGATGTAGCAGGCGGAGTAATCCACGCTCACACACTCATGAAAGTGCCCATCTGGCCCTGCGTGCATGCGCTAAGCCCAGAAAACACACACTTCCACACATGGACTCACTGGAGACTCACACTCTATAGCGGCTGTTGCTGCTGCTGCTGTTGTTTTTCATTGTGCCGCTAACCAACCTCAGTAGGCTAACACGCCGCTCTGTGCTCTGTCTTAATGCTGAGGCTGCCGAGTTGAGTGGCCAATTGGCACATGAAATACATACGCAAATAAGTGCAAAAACACCAGGAAAAGATAATTTAAGCCTCAGTGTAGGATATCATAGCAGCCTGGCACAGGAGGAAGCCCATCGAGACAGGAAGTGCCATAGAGATACTAAATAAAAAGGATCCATTTATACTGCAGCCACTGTGAGTGCACACAGATAAATTCGAGGGCTCGCTGACTGCCCTCAGGCCACTCTTTCTGCCCTCTTATCGTCGTGGTGAGGTATGATATTACATGAACTCGCAATGAAAGAAGCACAGAGAAATACATCCCCATGACTGCGGCCACCTTTTTTTAGCCTGGTGCTAATTAACCCACTGACTTAGCTTACCAATGCATAAACATCTTCACGCTCTGTCAGTTATTATTAAGTTATGTTGCATGTTCAATGGACGATGCATGTTTTTACTTCATTTTGTTTACGAAAATCAGCACAGCTGCGCTGAAAAAGAAAAATGGCATGTGATAAAAAATAATGAAGCTTTATTTCACAATACTGCACTCAAATGAGAGCAGCGTCCCAAACAAATACTGTGCAAGAAAGTGAAAACATATGACTAAATTACAGCATATTCAGTATAACAGTGCCAAAAGCAGAAGATAAAATTTCCATTCCAATACTGACTTTTTCAATCTTTTATAATGAAAAGCAAAATTTAAAATCATCCCCAAACAGTAAGCACCTGCATACTGCAAACATACTGTGAATAATGTCATAGTAGCTCCTGTAAATGATACCAGATTGCAACAAGATACTAAGCATGCATAAAAATGTGTCTGTGTAAAACAGTACTGTGTTTTATTAAAGAAAATATTATCCTAATGTATAAAAAGTTCCAAGAAGAAAGTGGCACAAAAATAGAGTCGATTATAATTCTGAACTTGGCAAAATAACAAGAAATGTTTTAAAAGTGACATGTGCAATTAACAATATAATATAGTATTTAAATGGAAGACTTACACATTGTTACTCTTATCAATGTATAATAGATATTACACAGATGATCAATTACCTCCACAAAAGTAACTTCACAGGAGAAGGGAAAGATGTATTCTACATTGTTCTCTTTTTTTATTATTATTATTTTCCTGTTCAGTTTTATTTATGTCCAGTTCTAAGGTTTGTCAGGGTTTATGTGTAAAACATCAATAATAAATTGTTTTCATAGTAAAACCTCTCTTTATTACTTAGAATTAAACAGCCAGGTTATGTTACTGTGCCTTTAAGACTTGCATATTTAAAAGATATCTGTTCTGATTGGCTGCTCTGTATTCAAAAAGCAGGCCGGGCTGACACACTCCTTATAACTTCAGCATGGTTAGGCAGGGCTAAACTGCTGTAGGAATAATAGGTAGATATGTGTAACTGCGCTAGTTTTCGAGACACAACAAAGACAGTGCATTCAAAATGGACTGTTTTTGCAGTTTAATTTCCGTGTATGGACATTTTGAAGTTGTACCAGTGTTTACACACTGCCGTATATCACCATTTTCCATGATATATGCCCTGCTGTAAGTTAATGCAACAAGATTTGATTCCAAGTATTTTTTGGTGAAATGTTGCACATAATGTAAAAATCAGTTATCATTTTCACACTGCATAAAGAAATATAAAACATAATGGAGCTAGGTGGTCTTGATATTACAGTGGTGATAAAGTAGCTAAAGAGGAACAGTTTGTAAAGCACCCTCCACCCCAGTGGTTCTCAGTGTTATCTGCAGTCAAATGGGGTGAGTCCAGTCTTTGTTTATACCAAAGACAACACAACTGACTCAACCAGTTGAGCAAAAAGGCAGCATTACTTGGCTGAATCAGGTGTGTCTCTTGTTGGAACAAAAGTCTGGACCCATTTCAGCCTTGCTTGGCTATGATTGGGGTTCGGCTTAAACCCAGTTCAAGTGCAGCAAGAAGGAAAGCAACAACTGTCAATGCCAGAAGCTCCTTCTATCTCACGCTGCTGCTTGCGCTGGGTTTGGACGCGGCCAGCCCAGGCAGCAGAAGACCGCTCCATAATGACCAGAACTTAAATGAGTCACTGCAAGTCAATCTGCTTCTCCTTCCTCGCTGCAGGCCTGCTCTTCCAGGGCCAGAGAAGGTTACGCTGACCACCCCTCTCTTGACTACCCTCTCCTGCTTCTGGTTGCTGACCGTGACCTTTGACTGCTAGGTCCTCTTGCTCCTCCTCCAGGCTCCGAGGCTGAAGACTGAAGGAGCTCTGCTCCGCCTGCCGGTAACGGCCATTCACATAGCAGAACAAACACCTGAAAGAAGAAAAAAGGAAAAGTCACATAGATAGATAGATAGATAGATAGATAGATAGATAGATTTAACCCCTTAAATTAACAAGCTTATTACATTCGAAGGTTTATTATTCAGTAACCCTCTGGAAATCAATAAGAGTTATTCTTGAAGGGGAATTCAAAGATCTAAACAAAGTCATTGAGAATGGTTGAATGTGAAGCGCTCTATTCTGGAGAAACGTGTTGGTGACCAAGTGGTGATGACAGAACCAAATATCTGAAGCTTTTTTTAGCCTCTAATAGTTACCTCACAACAAAGTTATTACATTGATATTAAAAGCTGCCTGATCCCCCAAACATTGTTTTGTGACAGTTTTGTGATACTGCTCTAGCCTAAAAACTATTTTTAAAATGCTTCCATGGTGGAAAGGCACATGCAATCCATTCTAAGGCAAAATAGTACCCCAAAAAACATATAAACTCAAAAGACCTGTAGGTTCACTGTTAATTTTGGATAGTAAATAAATTAAATAAAATAAATGGCTATATTTGCATATACATCATGACCCCTGCTTCCTATCACCACCACTGTAAAGAAATTTTGTAAAGGTAAATTTCTCTGCAGCGCACTGTTTCACATCAAAACACTCTCAATGACTTTGTTCACATCTCAGTGACTGAGTCAAACAGAATTTTTAAAAATAAGAATGTGAAATGGAAGCCTGGACCCATCCTCATTGAAGGGGTTAATATCCAGTCAAGAGCAATGCTGTGGTCAGTGACTGACCATTGATGAAGAGCTACAGGATGGCTGACAGAGAAGATGCATCAACAGATGAGCTACTGTCTCTAATTGTACACCAAGGTGGAGCTACAAGGTAGGGCTTTCCAATAAAGTGGTCAGTAAGTGCATTAAGAGGCATAATAAAATTTAGAGAATTTACAAGACACTTAGATAAACAACACTATGGGTTTTCAGCTTGGATGACAGTTAATATTTACATTAGAGCTGCTTCTATGCTGCTGTCCTTACTCATCACTGTATATTAGAAAATAGAAGATACCTGCTCATCTTTGTAACTGTGCCATGAAAGAGCTTGGTTTATAAAGGATGAGCAAGAAAAAGATAAAAAAAAACCCTGCAAAACACACAACTGAATGGTGTGATAATCACACATGCCTAATCTCTTCATTTCCTATTTACCTCTCCTCTCTCCCCTGGGAGCCATGAGGAAAGCTCTAGAGATCCATTAATAAGTGACAATGGCTCCATATAGCTGTTTTTTCCCTCGTGTCACTGCCTCGAACACATTACGAAGCATTTGATCCAGCTGAGCGGTCTGATCCGAGAGAGAGCGTTTCAAAATGAGCTGTTTTGAAGCATTACCCAAACTGTCAACCCCGACACATTTAATTGGATAAAATAATTAAGAAAACAGGCCGAAAGGTGTTTGAGATAATAAGAGACGTAGCAAAGAAACTGAAACAATCTGATTGGAACACTTTTAAGGCGAGGTGTTCATTCATGAGGTGATATTAAAGTGTCAATTGCTGTGAATTTTGAACATGGCACTTCTCTGATGAAAAGGCAAACACCTGAAAAAATGCTTTGTGAGAAGTGTGGAACTGCGTTACACAAACGTGATAAATGAATCATATTTATAGTTGCCTATGCTCTGTTCATCCACTGAATCACACTTGGTTCAAATGTGTACATCATTTCCACATAAATAAAATATACAATAATTCCAAAAGGTAAAGACAAAACTGTGTTGCTGTAATATATTTGATTTATATGAAAAAGATCTTTATATTTGAATTATGCAAATTCAATATTTTTACCACATCACATTTTTTTCCATTGTACTTATGTCAGAGTGGTTACTCAGGAGGGTTGGGAGAATTTTCGGTGGGACTGTACAATTTTAGGCTGGTCCAAAAAAGGCACACATAAGCTTAAAAACACACGTACAAAGTACTACCATTGCAACCTAGTTTATTCTGTAGTAATTTACAGGAGGTAATCAGGCCACCCTCTGCCTCTGTAAATAGGACAGCCCTAGTTTGTTAATTGTAAATGATCATTTGTGAAATTATGACTGACACGCCTTTAGGCTGATCACAATCATCTCTAAAAGCTACTGGAAAGAAAAAACCTGACAGACCTCCTCAAAACAAACCTGCAATGAGAGCCGTGGTGGCATTCAGAATTATGGTGTGGAAATGTGTCACTGAGGGATATACAATTCCTGACACATGCTATTCTGATCAACTGGAGAGTGGCATTGATTTTGAAAAAGTTTTGGATTAAACAGTCCAAACTCACAGTTGAATAACAAAACTGTTAACAGGCAGATGCTGGCTCTGAGGTGACCTAAACTTAATCTGGGTTACTGTACTTGCTAACAATGTCTAACAATAAATAACATTACAGAACTTAAACTGCAAAATAAGAAACATTGGTGAATGCCAGAATCTTCGTGAAAACTGCGTTAGCTCTTCTGAAGGGGCAGCTTCTGTTGCCAAAATCTCTTCCTTGTGAGACATAAAAATCTGCTGCTATAATGTTGACTGCGAAGCTATTTCCCTGGTTTGATTAATGTAAATAGTCTTTTTTGGTTTGCTTTAAATTGGCCTACATTCATATTTTGTCACTTCTTTGTCAGATGTATGTCTGCACGGACCATTTGAACATTAATTCACATGACAATTATTGTACTTTTCTGTATGCTTCTCAGTTCTCTTTAGTACTACTGAACAGTAAGAAATGCTGACCAAAACTAAGATAGCAAGCTTTATATTGGACATTGACCGTCATGATTATGTCATATTTGCATTGTAACTACTTGTCTGAAAACGATTCCAGTCCAGGCCTGCTTCTGATGCTGACCAGTTTTCAATTTCACAAGTAAATCACAATGCAATTACTTCATCACTCAAAGTTAGCAATCCCTACGATTAATTACAAAGATAGGAAGGACTGCGAAAAAGGGATCCTCAAAGAGAAATTCCAAACGATTTCATTTTTTTTCCCACGTAAATTGGACTTGGGTTGGTGTTAGTGTGAGGTCATTCATGGACCGGTCATGCCATCACTTATCATGACACGAGTCACCTTGAATTCTCTCAGTGTTTGAGCAGCTGCTGATTCCCAGGAAACATTCAAGGAGAGAAGGAAAAAGAGAGAGAGAGACTCACAGATTCATTTCAACAGTCACTCGCTCCGGCAATCACAAGCCTCTCCTTCTGAAGAGCCAGGCCACTACAGGTTGCCAAGCAACCTCAAAGAAGGATGTCAAGATTGAAGGGTGTCATTTGGAGGAGATCACTCCTAGGTTACAGTTCAATCCAAATGCTTTGATAAAGTGCTCGCCTCCACTGGGACTCTGCACCTCCTTCTCACACGGAAGGAGAGAAAACCACGACACTGTATTGAGCAATGAGTGCGCGAGGCCTGCCCCACTCCACTGGAGGTACTTGATTATATGGCCACCTTGGCTTGAAGCAATCAACTGTCACTTTATCAGGTAAGTGCTGGCAGAAATGTTCCGATAGAGACTGTATAACCGGTCAGGGCTCAAGAAGGTCGGGGCCTCAATGCTTTTTGAGGGTCTTTGACCTTGTGGTTTTGAAAACAATCTTCTTCTCTCCCACTGGAATGCACTTTTTTTTCTTTACGTTTCTAATGAGTCAGCCTCTCAAGGAGACTCGCAAATGGCCAAGCACATTTAAACACAGTCCACAGATTGGACTTAAATGCACTACTAATATCAGAGCGAGAAAGAGAGAGCATGGTGCTGACTGACCTAAAAAGCAGGTATTTGTCCTTCGAAAAGCGGACATCAAAAGATCAGAACTTTAATTTTTTCTCACATTTCTGTTCGAAAGTGTTAAGCAAACTTTGTGGCCAATAAATAACAGGAATCATGGAGCAAATCAAGCACTTGTTCTGAAGTTATTTTCAAGCCCTGTTATTTGCAGCTATCAGGCCGAATCGCACAGTCCCATAATGCAGGTCTACGGGGACAAAGCACAACTCCATTCTCGCTGAATTGAAAAACACATTTCTTGTTCTTAACGGTAACTAAGCTGTCAACAGATAAGGAAGTTCACAGTATCGCCTCCCTGGTAATCCATCTCACGATCGCTCCTCTTGTATTTTCTTTCCAAACAGCTTGGAAATATGGTTTGAGGCCTTCGCCCAAATGTCACTCCAAATGCTTTCTCCAAATGCTCCCGCAACTGAAGATCGGAAAGAAATGAAAATCAGAGCGGACACAAGAAACCATGCGTGCAGCCATGATGGCACTTTTCCCTCGCTTTCGAGCCAAATTAGCAATGTTCTGTGTTGTGTAATTAGAAGCAAAGCAACTTTCAAGGTAAAGTTAAGGGTTTTGTGTCTTTTTCATTTCCCTGTTGGACCACTGACATGTTCACAACATGCGTTGATCTGTGGTGGTTTCATGTCTCACACTGTGAGGGTTAATGAGGTCCGGTGTGAGACCAGGTTAAGACGGTGAAGACTTTCTTCTGGACACCATCTGGTCTACAGTCTTAAAAATAAAGGTGGCTAAAAGGGGTTATTTGAAGTGATGCCAAGGCAGATTTTTCTGTAATTGTACAAAGCAATTAAATATTCTTCCTACACTTTTAAAAATAATGGTTCGTAAATTGTTCTCGTATGAATGTATGGTTCTATGAAAGACCTTTAATTGGCAGTGGTGAACCTAATCCTCAGTTGTTTTAGGCTTTCGGAAAATGTTTAGTTCAGTATTTAATAAAAGCAGCATGTTTGTTGTATTTAAACTCTGCATGTGTTGTAGTAATACTATTACTTCATTGTTAAGTTTTGATTGGAAACAAAAGGGTTGCATTATTTAAATACCCAATGGAAAATAATTCATTTTTTTCTGTGGTATCTTGGCAGATACAGTTAAGCATGTTCTCCTAATCAATGTAATCATTGATTAGGTTTTCAGGAAAAGAATTGAAGGCCCAACAGATTAACGACCTACATAATT